CCTCCCGTTCGTTCAGCAGCGTGTTGTGTTAATTAGGGAGGACAACATGTGCACGCAAGCAGTGCTAGGGCGTCTTTCTTCGCGCTCGGCAGCTCTGCATGCCGAACTAAAATTATTATGGGAATTCATGCAGAAGCATAGTATTGTTCTACAAGTCGAGCGTGTGGCTAGTGCTGACAACGAGGCAGATGAAGCCTCGCGTTGGGTAGACCGTGATGATTACCGCTTGCATCCCCGGTTTTTCCGCCTTTTGGAGCACCGCTTCGGTCCGCACCATGTCGACTTGTTTGCCACGCATATTAACACGCACCTCCCGGTTTTCTTTTCTCGCCACCATTGTCCGGGTTCATCGGGGGTCAATGCTCTCTTGCAATCTTGGGCAGGGCTTAATGCATATGGCTGCCCACCCTTGGACCCCGACTTCTTGCTCGCTGTGGTGCAGAAAGTGCGCGAGGAGGGAGCGTGCCTCACCCTAGTCGTGCCGTACTGGACGGCCCAACCTTGGTGGCAACAGTTGATGGAGTTGGCGGTTGACCTTGTGTTCCTGCCGTCGAATACGGAGCTGTTTGCGCCGGGCGAGGGTGGGTCGAGCACCTATCTACCACCCCCTTCCTGGCAGGTCGTGGCAGTGCGGGTGCAATCTTCATGTGGGCGCTTTGCTTAGCACTCGGTCGTTCCGTGAGGCGCTGCAAGTTCGGCCGTGTGTGTGCCCCGCTGGGAGCGCTTTCCTAGCATTTCACCCTTCCCCGTGGGCCGCGTTATTTGTTATAGGGGCCGTGGGACCATCTTTGAGGGAACGCCGTAGTTGCTTTGCACCAGGGGAGCAGTTATGCAGTTATGTGGAGCGAATAGGTAGGGATTTGTCGTGTGTGCGCTCCTTAGGCACCGCGCAGATAGTTGGTTTTTCGTCGCTTGGTGTTAACCTGCGTTTGGTTTCTCGTGATTTCGGAGCGGTTTCACTTGCTTGGTATCCGGGGTACCGCTGGTTCCAACCCCGCTGGATTTGGGACTAGATTCGAGTAGTACCTTTGGCGCGGAATAGGTCCCGGTTTCTCGCTGGATCTGCAGTCCGTTGCGACATCCCCGGTCTTTGATAACCTGTTGGTATCGCAGCTGTCGCTCGCCGGCCTAGGGTTGGTCCATTCCGCATGTCTTTGCCGGTTGCCAGGTTACCTTGTCCCAGGGTTGGTGCTAAGACCTGGCAGTTTTGCATCGCTGTGTTTGTGCGTTTTCTGTGTCGCGGTAGGCTGGGGCTCTTTCTGACTCCGTTTATGTTGGGCTCCTGTGGGGTCAGTTCCTAGCTGCCAAGAGCTTTATCCAAGCCCGTGCTGCTCAGCCTTATTTTCAGTGCCATGAGCTCCGTGGACTCCGTGAGCTCCGTGTATGTCTTGCTCGGTTAACCAAGAGCGCCCTGTGCTGGAGACAGCCCCTGCTGGCGGCGTTTTTATAGTAGTTGGTTGCATTTGCAGCACTCCGTGGCTCTGTCAGACTCTCTTTGTGTTGGTCTTTATTGCAGGTGCTGTGTGGATTCTTTGAACAGTTGGCCGGTGTACCTGTTGGTTCGGAGGTGGCCCGACCTTGCTGTTTGTCGTGCTGGGTTTCGTCATCCGTATCCCTGCTGTCAGCGCCCTGGGCGCGTGGAGCGGTCGTTATTGCAGAGCCGGTGTTCAGTTCAAGCCCTAGTTGGCCGTTTAGTCAACCCTCAGCGGGCACATGTTTGGCATTCTCGCGTGTCTATCGTCCATTCCTTCAGATGGCGTCCGTCAGCGTTTGTTGAGGGATCCGTCGCGTTTGTGGCCGGTGGGTCAGTCTGTGCGCGGTTGGAGAGCGCTGGTTTGACCTCGTCCTTGTGGTTTTGGCAGCGTTCTGTTTGTTTGCTCTTTTGCCTGTGTAGAGATGGCGTGTCCGCCGTCCTTGCTGCTGGAGTATCGTTTGGAGGTCGTTGAGGCGTTTTGCTTGGGGAGCTTTATTTCGTGTCGCTGTGTGTGCCTGTCTGGCAGCTCTCGCGTCCTTTGTCCCTCTAGCGGCCCGTCGCGTTGCGCTGTTTTGGTGCTCAGTTTGTTTGTTATTTCCGCTAGAGGGGGTATCTTCTCCTTTGGCATTTACCTATGGAGCAACAACTAATGCGAGCTTGCGTAAGTAAGCTGGGTTAGTTGGGCGTAAGGCCCAATGCGTAACTGTTAGACTAACTGTTTCGCAACGGCCCGTGTCCTCAGGGCCGTCATTTATTGCGCGCATTAAGCTGGTTAGCTTATCTTGTTTTTGTTGTTCAGCGCGCGCCCGCCCGCCCGCCCGTTTCTGGCGCAGCCTCGCGTTAGTTCAGTTGCGGTGTCTCTTTCTCCGTTCGTTAGGCCCGTCTTCTTCGGGCCTCTCAGTCCTTTTCTCTCTTTCATTCTTTGTAACAGAAAATGGCATTTACCTATGGAGCAACAACTAATGTTCGGTTACTTTGCTCAACAGTCCCAATTCTTCCAGGGGGTTCTGGATTTACCGGTCACATGGGAGATCGCTGACGGCTCCAGCGCTTCAAGACGCGGTTCGCACGGACTAACCGCAACGGACTGTAAACACTCTTTTACCTGTTTCCTTTGGTCTCCGGAAGAATAATATCTGTTACTATCTTATTATTTATCTCTGAGTATCTGTGGGAGCCCATGTTTATTTTTGACACGTCTGGTGGAGAACTTTGCACACAAGGACATGGTTACCCCAGAGCTCGTCCCTCTGTGGTGGAGCAGCGTATATTTGCTATGTGTGACTGCTATATTATACGCAAGTAGTCAGTTGAGTAGCGCAAGTTTTGTCGCACAAGACATTCACACCGATTCTGCGTCATTTGTACAGCTGCCGATAGCTCCAAAAGGTAGTGCATCACGATCAAGCAGTTTGGTGAAGAAGGCAGAAGCAATTGGCTGGAGCGCAGACACACGCGAGCTGTTGGCCTCTGCCAACGGTTGCGTGGGACGCAGCTCCGGAGCTCAGTTGACTCGATGTTCCCAAGGGGGAACGTTGTTCAGCTGGGGCCTAAGAGAGTGGAGGCTGGGAAGAACCGCAGGTGTGCTGGGCCAGAGCTTCTGGGTTCCCTACTGGGTGCACAACCTGCCCAGGGAGATGCCCCACTACGGAGTTCCGTACAGCATGTGACCTGACCATCCCAACGGCTGACGTGGACGCCAATCAAACCTTGTCACGTGTTCCCTTCATGCACGTTGGCGCAGTGCCACCCGCACACAGGCCCTGCGTGTCGTGGCCTGGCCGCAGGGCATAACTTCGCTTCCAAAATAGTGAGCCCGTGACCATCTGATTCATCTCATTTCATCACGCGACGCGCAATTCCTATAGCACGGTCGGATATGCGCAAGATGGGGCTCCAGACGACTTGTAGCTGAGGCCACAACGCACGACAACCGCGAAACACAGTGTTGTTGTGGTGACCCTCTCCGCTCTCCCCTTGGACGCACAGGTGACACCTCGGTTCCGGAGCCAGCTCTAGTAAACCTCACGGTCATCTCAGTGGCCGCCAGCCGCCATTCCGCCATTGCGACTGCCGATGGCGTGGTTTGGACCATGGGACACAACGACTCAAAGTACGTGTCGTGTCGCACTGTTGTAAGCTTGCCGACCAGCCTAGACCTGACCTGGCATGCGCTTGCGCTTGCGTCCTGTATCGGGGACCATGCTGTGTGTCACAGTAGCAAAGCAAAGCTCACCGGCCTCGTATAATGGCCTAGATGAAGATGCACGGCGCCACTCTCCCAGAGGAAAGCTCGGCGGTGGCCCAGTCATTGCGTAGGCGCGCGACAATACGGTTGGGTGGGCTTAAATGGAGTCTTGGTGGTCCATGTGGTGACCTCGTGCGAGATTTGCCCTCGTCCATGGCCTCGCTTCTTTAAGTGTATATGCCCTGCATGTACTCCAGGGGCGGCGGCGGCCATGGAAGTCCTCCGTTGGATGCTTCAGGGCAACTGGGTCGTGCCGGGACCAAGGAGCCTGGTCCCGTGGAAGGTCCCCTGCGCGGCAAGTTTGTGGTGCAGGTGGTGACGGGGCGTTACCACACCATGGCCGTCACTGAGGATGGGGAGCTCTACTCCTGGGGCCTCAACGACTGGGGGCAGCTGGGCCGGCCCGCGGTGGGAGCCACGTCGGAGTCGGACCCCACACCCTGCACCGCGGGGCCAAGCTGCCACTCGGGGATGTGAGTGGGTAAAAGGGGTTTCGGAGCGGGTGGTGGGGGGAAGAGGTTCTTATCGTGCGACTCAGGCACGACTCAGATGGTGTCGTAGGTGCTATGAGTGGCATATGCTAGCTAAGTTGTCGTAGCAAAGATATGGCTGGCATGTGTATGGCTTCCAGTGCCCTATCATCTGATGACTCCTGTACTCCCTGTCACGTGCCGCAGCCCCGGCCTGGTGTCCCTACCTGGCGGCGTCCGCGTGGTGGGTGCTGCTGCCGGTCGCTATGTGAGTATGGCGGTGGACGACTCAGGACGGTTGTACACTTGGGGACATGATGGATGCTCCAACGGCGGAAAGCTGCCTGAGCGGAATGAGGCCTACAAGCCGAAACTGGTCAGCGGAGAACTGGCAGCCAAGCGCGTGGTTGCATTCGACGCGGGCTACGTGTTCTGGATTGCTGCTACGGCGGAGGGCGAGGTGTACACGTGCAACTCGCAGGTGGGAGAGAAGAAGGGAATCGAAACAGTGGGAGGGGGCACTAGGGAAGGTGAAGTACCTATCCGCGGGTCCAGGGGGCATATGACGATATGGACTTTCCAAGCTTATCTGCCCACCCTCATCCGCCCACTCCACATCCTCTTCCTCAGGACGATGGGTACGCGGGCACGCTGTCCAGTCGGAGGGCACCGAACAATGCCGGTGAACTGGGCCGCGGAGGAGACCCGCTGGTGCCAGGACGAGTGGAGGGCGGGTTGGTGGGGAAAAAGGTCGGTATGGAAGCCCGGTAGGGTTCACCACTTAGCCTTTTGTTATCCCACGATGCCCAGTTGCCCAGCACGTGGCCACTTGGCGACACACAATCTGGGCCATGTTGGGACACGATGATGTGCACCGGAGGTGGCACGCAAGGAATAGGCAGGACGCGGATGCGCGAAGACTTGCAACGGACCAACAAACGCCATACAGCCGCTACATGCCATAACGCTGCCATATGCAACAAGAAAATAAACTGCAGCAGCGCTGCCTCTCTTATCTCAGGACGCGCGCATGTGCGCGCTCGCGCGCACCCGGCCACTGCGACTGATGACCAGATCCGTTCCTTAACTGGGGTCGACTGCGCCCCGGCCTCTGATGACGTGGGCCGGGGTCCAAGCTGCTAGGCCTTGCTCGGGGGGGCCTAGCTAGCCCTGAGCAAAGGCTGTGGGGGGTGAGGCAGCCGCCAGCTGTACCGACCTTGATTACCACCACTTTCATCTCCCCAGCCTTGGGTCTCTCAGTCACCTTCACGCGCGCTAATGCGATGCTGAATATACGTCTTCGTAGGTTGAGGCTGTCGCTGCGGGCCGCGAGCACGCCGTGGTGTCGACTGCTGACGGCAAGGTGTTCACGTGGGGCAGCCGGGATCTGCTGATGGGCCGCAAGGGGAACTCCAGGGAGCCCGGACAAGCGCTGGTGAGGTCGGGGGCTGCGCACTGGCTGAGAGTGCAGGGCTGGTGTGAAGCGTTGTTTGCCTCAAGGGCTGCTGCTAATGCTGCTGCTAATGCTTCAGGGTGCTCTGGGGGCCGATAACATCCGCTTCGTGTCAGCGGGAGAGTACCACAGCGGTGCGGCCTCCGAGACCACTTTGTACGGCTGGGGCAGCAACGGCTACTTCTGCACTGGAGTGGGACGCGGCAACCCCGTACAGGTACGGCATGGCATCAGCGGATTGGAGCGGGGGACCTGCACAAAGTTCTTCAATAGTGATGACCGCGACCCTACACCGCATCATATGCACTCGTCAGTCATTCTAGGAACCGCGACCTGCTTTGCGACCGGGAAGTAGAAGCTCAAGATTGTACCTGTTATACAGCCCGTCACGCTGATGGCTGGATGGAAACGCTGACGCCTGGCGACCGTCCCTCCGTGGTAATGAAAAGTATCCTCGTTTGTGCAGCGGTGTGAATGAAGACCTCTCAACCCCTACCATACACGTCAGACCGCACTTTGCGCCCTGACTGGCCGCCGCCCGAGGTTGCCGCCACGAGGAAATTGAAATCCCTAAACCCGCAGAAAAAGTAAAGAGCAAATCCACAAGCGCCGCAGCATCATGAGTAGAGTCACTATAGCGCCCCCTGTTGGATTCTTCTTCTGGATTCTTCGCAGAGACGGAAGGGGGGGGCCAGGACGACGCGGGGAGCCAGCGGGCGCGGCGACGTGTTCGAACCCGCCATGTCGCAGGGCGTCATCGCCCTCGGCGGCTGGCAGGTCCAGGCCATGGTGGGGGGCTTCCAACATGGCCTCGCCATCGCCGCGAACAAGGGGGGACGCTGGGAAGTTATGGGCCACGGTCGCCAAATGGCGCGAAGGGCGGTGAGGTGAGAGATCTGGAAAGGGCAGGGGCGGCAGCCGTATGGCATGTTGCGGGGTGTGCCACATAGTGTTCTTTTCCAGGATTAGGGGGCAAGTGGAACTGTCCAGCGCGGTGCCGGCTGGAGGTTAGCCGGGGTCTTTCCGAGGACTGGCCGGGAGAAACGAAAGCGAGTGCGTGTCGCTGCATATGTACGATGGAACAATAAGGCCCACAATTGGGCTGAGCGACAGCTGCTGACCGGGTCTGCCCCATGTGTGTGCTCTGCCTGCCATGTGGTAATAAATATGGACGCCCTCGGCGCTATTCGATTTCGCAGGCTTTAGCTGCTCTTCGAAAACACTTGTCTTTCCCCACATCTGTATTGGCGCCCTGGGCCCTCACGGTATGGGCGCTTTCCTCTCTCACTCTTGCTGCTTACAGCAGGAACTTGGGCGGGGGCCGCAGCGCCTTTCAGTTGCACTCCATGACCGCGGGCGCCTTGAGCTCTCTGGCTTCGGCGACACAGGTCGCGTCCTCCGTTGCAGTGACAGGGATAGGGACAGCGGTGGCGACGGCGGCCAGCAGGCCGGCCGGCGGTGGCGGTGATGGCGGCGATGCTGCCGTGGCGCCAGCGAGGCCCGTGGCAGCTTTGCTGCAAGCAGTCGACACCTCGGCACCCGACTACCACACCCGCTACCTGGCACCGCAGCTACACCCCATCGAACTCAACGCCTCGGAGCATTGGCGGCGCTACGTTCGCTCTCCGCGCTTTGAGTTGATCCAGGTTGTCGGGGCGTGTTGGCGGTAGGCTCCTGGCGGACCTTTGACTTGTTCTCTGGCAAGTAGCTTCCCCCGTCGCCCACGCCGGGACAGGGGGTTTCGTACATCGTGTTGTTAGATGGGCCCCATCGACGCCTGGTGTCTTGGATGATGTGGCTTCCGCTCGGTCGGGTGTGCAGCTCCCTCCTTCCCCTCCCCCGGGGGTTCCCTTGGCCCTTCAACGCCTAATTGTCGTCGGTAGCACACAGGCGGACGATGGATGGGTGGATGGATGTGCTCACCTGAACATCTCCCCCTCTTTTCGGCGATTGATTTGGATTTGTCACAGGCCCAGTCTCCAGATATCTGGAAGGTTCTGCCGACCGCCTACGATCCCCGCTACAAGAACCCCTGCTGGTACGGGCGCTTCCTTGACGATTCGGTTTGGATGGTGGTTGATTTTCCTTTGGTTGCCGCTTGAAGTGTTGCTTAATATACCGCGCGTAGAGGACCTGGGTGCTTGCTAAGAACCTGTGTGTGTGTGTGCGCGTGTGTGGTGGCATACGGTAGTCCTGCGGCGGCATGTTAAGCATCGGAGGGAGGTGCCTCCAGCCAAATCTAAGGGCCCTTTGCTAGAGTTATGTACCTTAGTAGCCTGGCCAGCGCAGCGATGTGGTGACGACGCGAGCTTGGCATTTGACTATGGTATAATAGCGCGAGACCTGCACACCCACGGCATCCCTGGTCCCCAAGCCATGTTGTCTCTGGGATGCCATAACCCAAAGGGAAAATAATAACATGAACGCTTGAGTGTCGTCGTTTGTCTTTGCTTAGTAATGCTAACCATGCTCTTCCTCGCACGTGCACAGGATGGCAGGGGAGCGCCTCCGCTGCATTCCCTTCTACCACATCCTGGGGGTCTCGAAATGCGGCACCACCGACCTCTACCACCGCCTTTCCAAGCACGCATTGCTGTTCAAGTCAAGAAATAAGGCGAGATGCGGTGGGATGGTAGCGGTGCAGGACTTGGGTTGCCGTGAAGCTTCCTACTAGGCAGACGACAGAGAGAGGGGGGAGCAAGGTATAACGATCCCACGACCCATAACCAGCAACAGCAGCAACGCACCAAAAAGCTCTTGCGGGCCGACCGGGCTGCCCTCCTTGTATTCGGTGACCTATCTGACCACCCGCCTAGAGCAACAATCTTCACTTGGGCTCTCTCCGGGGGCCCCAACTACAGCCTCACCTCTGCCTCCGCGCTTTCCTGTACCGTGCGCTATGCCCATCCCTCTCTGCCGCATTCACCCCGCAGGGGCCCCACTGGTGGGACGAGTGCATCCACCCGCCTGTCGGGCCCTGCACCGCCCCGCCAAATGGTGACTTTGACGGCTACGTGGAGCTCTTCGCGGACGCAGCCGAGAAGATCCGCAACATCCCTGACGTGAGACCTTGCCTCGGGCCTGTCTCCCTGCGAGAGACTCGGGAGCCATGTCACCTGTTCCACATCTGCATCTTTTACGTCCTAATTTAGAGATCGCCCGCCCTCTCTGCACCTTGGCTGGCCCCTGCAGGGCATCACGGGGGAGGCCTCCTCCAACACCTTCACTTCAGCTGCTGGAGTGTATCTGCGGTACGTGTTGGGGCGTGTGGTCATATGGCGGCTGGATCTACGGCAAGGTGCCGGGGCGGACCGCAAGGGGGGAAGTTACACTGAGCGGGTTGTGCGGAAGAGGAGGGGGTAACAGGAGTAACGGTCCCGGAGGAGGGTGGCTGCGGTTGAGAGCTAACCAAGCACGCTAGTCCGACCCACAACCTTATCCTTGAGCATGTACACGCCCAGGTCTTGCCTCCTGAAAGCGTTTTGCCGCGTGTCGGGCTGTCCCCCCCTTGGACCCCCTTCCCGGTAGCCTCCATCGCTTGCCCCCTCCCTCCCTCCTCTCCCTCCTTCCCTCCCTCCCTCCCTGTCGCCTAATCCTTCCCTCCCTCCCTCCCGGCTTCAGTGGGCCCTCCTGGGACCGCAACACCACCGTGACGATGCCGGAGCTGATGCGGGAGGCAAGTCCCTTCCTCAGGAACATCATCATCTTCCGCAACCCAGTCGACAGATACTACTCGGCATTCTACTACTACAGGTGGGTGCGCACACAATACTGTGACGTTGCGGCGCTTTCCCCGGCGCGCGTGTGTGTATGTCCTCCTTCCCCCGTGATACCTTCCTCCTTCGATCACCCTCGACCTTGCTAGTCCGGTCGCGGGCCCAGTGGTGGATGCCGAAGGTGCAGGGCCGGTCCATGATATGTCCGTCTATCCCTCCCTTTTTAGTCCCAACGCCACGTAGCAGGAGTGTACCCTTGTACAGGTCACTGGGACACCACCACTCCGCGCGCCAGATAGGCCTTTTGGCTGGAGATCCCCCGGGGAGGGCGCCGGGGCCCCAGCAGGCATTTGCTAGGGTATTGTAAGGGAATGAACACTCCTGGACAGGGCGGGATTTGAACCTGGTCGAGAAACCGGGAGATGGCTGGCAGGCCATGCAGCGCTGCCTTGCCGTGTCACCACGTGCATCAGGCAGCCCTCTCGTCTACATTACTTATATCCGACCACCGGGTGCAGCGGCGTTTGCACGTACCCCAGGAAGTCTCGGGGGACCGTGTGGGCACGAAAAGCCAAACCGTGCCTTTGCGGCCGGCCCGCTCTTGCTGCTGTTGCATGCTGCTACTCGCAGACCCAGACAGTGTCAGATTACTCCTGCCGCTGAACCTGTGTTTGCCTTTCCTCTGCAGGCGTTGGGACAGGACTCAGGCCCCACCGGGCCCCGACGAATTCCATGACGCTGCGGAAAAGGTGCTTCTTCTTATTGCTGTGGGGACTCTAGGGTGAAAGGTGGAGATGCTGGGATGGGGCTGGGACAAGGAGTAATGACAGTGAATGTAGTTTAATGCCGGGGGCAACCCTGCGCCTGAACTTTATGACCTCCTCGATGTCCCTCCCTTCGTATGCACACGTCCGCAGGGCGCTTTCTGGTCCTATTCGACCCCATTCCAATTGAATTTCACTCACTCCACTAAAAACCCATCTGCAGGAGATTGCGGCGTGGCGCTCCTGCACGGACCAGAAAGACCTTAAGTACTGTGTGCGGCATTACCACCCCCAACAGCTGGTCAAAGGCATGTACTCCGAGTTCATTATGGTGCGCGGCCTACCGGGGCTGTTGTTGTGTTGAGGAATTCAAAGACGTTCACCCGTTGTGGCTTTTGATTGTCTTGTTCGGGAGGTGGAGAGTGTGGGGCAAGTGGGGACTATCCTGCAGACCTGTGCAGTGCAACTGTGTTGGGGCGGTGGGGGCGGCAGTTGAGTAGTGCTGGAGGTTAAGATAAGAATGGTAGGAGTGTGGTTTGGAACCCATTGAAAAGGTTCACCGGGGTGCCATCATTATCGGCGCTGTTGCTGCTGTTGTCTGCATTTTTGCTAGAATCCGAACCCCGCTGCTCTGGCCGACCCGTGTACTCGCCGTGGCCCTGTATTCGTGCTCAGCTTTGCATCCCCCGGCAGTCGGTGCTTTGGACACAGGTTGTGTTGACATTTGCTTCCATGCACCCTTGCCCGCCGAAAAGCATCACGTCCTCATCTCCCTGAACTTTCTTTCCAGGACTGGCTGGCTCACTGGCCCCGAGACCAGTTGCTGTTCCTGCGCAACGAGGACTACAGCGCGGCTACTCGGGTGCACTTGGAGGCCGTGTTTCAGTTCCTGGATGTGCGGAGGCCAACAGAGGATGAGTGGTTCAAGGTACGCACGGCGGTAGCAGGAGTACGTCCTAAAGTTACATGGCTCACACACGTGGGGGGCCAGTCCGTAAAAACGGGGTGGCCATGGATGATGGTCAATTGTCATTATGTTGTCCTCCTCCCCTGCTTGGATTGGCGAACGAAAGTGTGTTGCCAGCTCGTCACGCACGAGCCGAGCCACGTCAAGGGAGCAGCCCCTTGGGGGCAGTCCGTTGCGGATTCGTACATTTGTGTGGTCAAGATTGGCCCGCCGGGATCTGAGATCATCGGAAGAGGGTACAGGATAGGAAGCGCTTTCCCACTATTGCAAAGTGAAGCGGGTCCACGGCTGCGGTCTGCAGTGTTCGGCTGTGCTCAGATGCTAATGCCGCCACCCATGCATGTCACCAAACGGCGACGATCAAGGTGTATCTATGTGGAAAGGGATCCCATAAGCGATGCCTTACAAAACGCCACAAACAAGCACGTGTGCCGAGTATCTACTGGGTTGCCTCCGTACGTATCAGAGCACATTCATACATGCATGCGACAACCCAAACATTTACGCCTCGCGGCTAAGCTCGTTTTAAGGGCTCCAATAACTGCACACTCCAGCAGTGCAGTACTGTGATGCGGTACGACTGGCATCCTGCTTACAACAGTACTTGCCCTGTGCCGCCGCTGTCCCCATTCACCTTTGTCCTCTAATGCCTTTCCCTATCTGCTCCCCTCCACTTGATTTCCTCTCCCCCCACTTGATTACTTCTTTTTGGTTTTGCCGCTCCCAATCCCATTCCATAGATTGTGGGCATGGAGACTCGCAACAAGAACAGCGACAAGTACCAGAAGATGCTGCCAGAGACCAGGACCATGCTCGAGGTGAGGGCGACGGTCCGGGAGTGGGCAGTGGGGTAAGGGGCTGCCGACTTCCTTTCTGGTCTTGATGGCCTCCGGATGCTATTGAACTATTGAGTCCCCCACTTCCCTTTCGCCTGCTCCTGTTCAGGAGTTTTACCGGCCTTTCAACGAGCGCTTATCGGAGATCCTGGGCGACGACAGGTGCGATTTTGGGGGAGGCGGCGTGATCAATACTTAGTACGGGATGCTTAAGGCCTTACTGAGTGACATGCATACAAGGATGTGTACCGCGCTGCCGTGCTGCTATCGGAAGACACATTGCGGCGGTGTCGTATATGGGAAAAGTACAGTCTGCTCACCCGCCCACCTACCTACAAACCTGGGAGTACATTACCACCGAGCACCATGTATGCGCTTTCTCTCAGCATGGCCATGACCCAATAACCGGCGTTTACGACTGCCAAATGGTGGCCTGATGCTTACGTAGTGTTACCCCCGGGGGAACAATGAAAGGGATAACGCAAAAGCAGCTGCCGTAGCCAGTCATCTAGCCCACCTGTAACCAGTGTCCATCAACAACGTATCGCTGTTCCCTCTCCTCAGGTGGCTCTGGAGGGATTCTCCAGGGACAACCACCTCTTCCGCTGCTGCCAGCACCTCGTAGCTCAAGCCGGCTCACATAGTATGACGGCAGGGAACAGGGCAAAGTAGCACCCGAGCGGTAGGGTAAAATTGGGGCCTTACAGGATGTCAAGGTGAGATCTTCTTACGGGTTATCACTCGTCTGTAGTGAAGGTAGCAGTGGCGGCTGCGAACGGGGACGCAGCCTGGGAAGGTAGACTGCAGCAGCGGGTCCAAATGCGAGAGTTCCAATGGTTGCTGCCACAGCAACAGCAATGGCTGAGAAATGAGGGCGCGATTGGCGGAGGCAGCAGCTCTGACCGCAGGCAGGGTCCGACATGGCCACATGGCTTAAGGGCCTGTGCTGTCTCCGCAGCCCATGCGGATGGCTCTCAATGTCCCCTGGGGTCTCTGTTGTAGGCCCGCCTCCTGCCTACCTATCTACTTACACTCTTCATGCGGCACTGGAGGGGATGTTTTCCTGTCAGTTATTCCCGGGGGTCGTAGCTTAGGATTCAGCACTTGGCAGAAGTTGAGTTTCTGCCCCTTGTCGGTGGTGTTGGAAAGCAACTATCGTATGGGAGGAGGGCGCGACTCGCGAGGGATAACGTACCCATGCAGTTATGGGTGATTATGCGTGGAGAGCGACGGACAGACAGATAGCCAGACAGGCACGCATGCACACGACCGATTGGTGGTAAACTTCGCGTGAGCAGGTGCATTCATTTACCTGTACGGCACGCTGCGTGCGGGTGGCATATGCAGGCAGGGCCTGACATGTGTTGTGTGCAGGGGAGGGCAGTATATGCGGCCCAAAGCGACATCTCTTTGTTGCGTAGGCAGGCGTAGGGCCATGTTGATTGAAATGACGGCGTACTGCAGGGTGGTGCCGATTGCGGTAAAGGCAACCAGCATGCGCACCAGCGCACACTTTTTGCCCTTGGTTCAAAAGTCATCTTTACACGCCGCTAACAATTTCGAGTGCGCTTTTGACGAAATTCATCCCTGTGTACATGTTCCTGTATTTTATTCCGGGATTGCGAGTAATAACAGCAAAGAGCAGAACAGTGGGGAGCTTCTTTAGTAAGGACCTTTTGAGGGTGTCTGTCTGTCTGTGCCTGGAACGTGCTACCGAATGTAGTAAGCATGACGCATACCCTTGTGTACAATTTCCAGCTCCACTGGAGTGCCTCTTTCTCCTTGCTGTACACTGGCCTTAGAAGACCTATCGTCCCGAGCTTGCCATTGCCGCGCCTTGCATTGTCGCACCTTGGCCGCAAACAGTGGGGTTCCTAACACTGCGATCACTGCCAGCCGCTGGCGTTCGGGAAAGCCATGGGCTCACAGCAGGTTATGAATGCGGCGAGCGAGACCTGTTGCTGCCGTCTGAGATGCCACTGCCTGGGATGGGGTAAGTCGCAGGTAGCGACAGAGGTTGGGAAGGAGACAGCGGCTGGGCCATGGGGTATATTAAGGCGCCGTCTTTGTCGCCATCAAGGTTTCCAAAACCACCGTGGAGGTATTGCCTGCCGCCTTGCCAGTAAATAAAATAGCCACTAAACGCGCCAATTACTTCTTCCGCCACGGCGCCCAATGCAGCGATGAGTTCCTGCTGTTCAGGTGGTCCACCGATGATCTTGATTGGCATGGAGTCCTTGAGCCTCTTTGCATGCATGTTAGCCACCTCCACTATCGTTGCATACATACATACATACATACATACCTCGGCTAGCTAGTTGAATGCTGCTAGGGCGGCCTACATAGACAGCAATCATTCCTGGTCCGGTGTTGTGGACTGCACCAGTGTTGGGCGCATCGAGGTCCGGACTGATGCTCGTCCCCACTTTGCATGTTTTGCTTTGCTTTGAAAGAGTTGTTCCAATAATGCAATGCACTTGCGGCTGTGTGTCTCAATCATGGCGGACATCATGGTGCTGCTGTGTCGATATCCGCATAGCAGGCTCGCGTGCTGCTCAAGGCGTCATTATGGGTGTATGGTTGTGACCCAGGGGCCCAACGGGAGGTCCTGATGGGAAGAATGCTGCTCCCAGCAGTCCCTGCTACTGTGAACGCGAGTTTGTGGCAAGGCCGCCCAGGCGCTGGTGCTGTGAACGATGCGTGCAGGCCCATTTCGGAGGTCAGATATGCTGATGCCCACAGTGCGGGGTTGCTGACATATAATCGCTGCACCTGCCAAACCGCGTAGCTATGCCCCTTTCAGCTGTTCACATAAGATGGCATCGACAGCGTGTTGGATTGCGGCCGCGGCCAACACTGCCCGCTCTCTAAGCGCTGCCATGACCGACGGTGGCGGTGCCCCGTGAGATGTTGGAATCGGTCTCTGCAGGCCGGCTTGGCTGATAAGCACGATGTTCTCCCCCACGAGGCGGGTTCCCATAAAGCGAATACCACCAGCTCTGCAAACCCCCCGTTCACTGCTTGAAGCTCCACATCCTGGCGCCGGGACACACCTTTGAACTGCCTTCGAACATCCAGGGTTGCCTGCGTGGGCTGCCGTGCCGCCGAGCAACCCTCCTGCGTTATCGGCCCATCCTTTACCCTGGAAACTAAAGTTTGTAAAGAGGAAGTCACAGCAGGTGGCAGCAGGCATCACACCTGTGGCGAAACTTGGAACGCACTTGCCTCTCGTTCTTCGCCATCGTGACGTAAACGGTTAGAACGTAAATGATTTGGTATGGTTGACATTTTTATGGACAGGTAACCGCGGGTGGAAGATTATGGGATCCTTGGCTTCGTCATCGGACTGCAGTTGATATAGGTCTACACCTCAAGGTGGCTATACTAAACAATCGTCCCGGGAATCTAGAACCGATGCCTGCGTCAGCCTGCGTCGTGCCCATCATGCGGTTTGGAACTTTTACAGTAAGCCAGCCCTCGGCGCGTTCTTAAGGTTTTAGCGATAAGTTGTAGACGACTGCTCCTGGAGCGCGACAGGGCAGCGCGCGGCGCCTACCTGTGAAAATCTCGGTATTTGCATTTTGTCGGATAGTTCTGTTTAAACGGCGGTTTTCCTGCACGCACGGGGAATGGTGGGCTTGCCCGCATTCGACTGCGCCCGCCATCATTCTTACGATATCTATACAGTAGCCAACGCCGTCAGTATCACACACCGCTTCTCCGTCTGCAATGCCCCTACGAGCCAATGAAGGACAAAAGTTTTTTTCATAATCGCTAGGACTCTACTCAGCGTGTCCATCAGGTCCAACCGACGACCCTCGCATGGCCCTGATTATTTATCGACGGCCGCCGTCGCCACTATGGACGTAGATTGCCAAGCTCGACCTTTCCCAGGCTTGCTGTGGTAGCTATAGCTTCCCTTCCGAAGCCCTTCAGTTCTTGCACCTCAATAGTACTATAGCGCGGCTATCCTTAAAAAAATTTGCAAAACTAATACAACGAAATTAAAATCCAGATTCCAGGGCTGGCCCATCATGCAGGGTAGGACGACGAAATAGACGACTATCCACACAGCCTCAAATGTCAGCTTCCCGCACGTAAAACCTATCACTATCCATATTTGTGAATTATACCAGCTGCTTCCAGACCCAAGAAGGCTCAAGAAAAAAGGTAGGGTGGACTCGGGGCGTCCGTACAGACGCCGGTACAGGTGCGTCACCACCTGCCCGCATGCCGCAAGAAGGAAAGGCAGCTGCACAAATGTATGTCATAACAGCTGTGAGTTTCAAATTGGAAAGGGATGAGTGATTCAATTATACACGGGGTTACGAAATCGGCTTAGATCCCCAACCTACCGTACAATTTAGGTTTCGGCTTGAGACGCACACCCACACATGCGTATATGCATACATACATGCATACGTAGACACTTGCAGGGCCACACAGCTTTTGCAGCTGACCCTAACCGAACCAGATAAAGAAACGCTCCGCTGCGAAACCAACCATGAGTAGTACACCACGACATATGCAGGTGAGAAGTACGAAGTCAGCGCCGGTCCGACTCGCTCAACACCAATTTCATCGGTATGCAACCGTATTATCAGCGTTAGGGAAGGTACGCGCAGGACAGTCTTCGCTCCGGAGCGCTGATCGCAGGACTGCTCTCTACCAACACCGGGGAGTGCTCCGGACGAATGCATGTTTGACCGCACGGCGGCATGTACGGCATTCGTGAGCAACGGCCAGCCTGCACAGTTATTGTCCATGCTTGCCAGGTCAGCAGTCTGTAATATGAATATTAAAAACTCCTGATTTCCTGGCAATGGCCCTCCGAATTCGGCTTTGTGAGTTCAAGCTGTCGATAGTAATTAGGCAGAGGCTTGCATGACAGTCCTCCTTAGCACGTGGTTCCTAGCTAGCCTTGTCCCGGTACACCCCCGTCTGTGCTGAGGGGCCCCTCCTGCCCCACGCGCTCCTTTGGGGTGGGCTCCAGCTTTGCTCGGCTATCCGTTTTATGTGCTCTACCCTCAGCTCCTGATGCGCTGTATGTGTGTACACTGCGTGCAGCGGCATGCCTCTCCTTGAGATCCACATTGGAAAAAACACAGCAGCAACGGCAGCCGCCGCGACCACACAGTCCTAACATGCTAGTCCTGCAGCAAAGACCACAATCATAACCTCGGGCCTGGTGGTCACTAAGCAACGCTAACAGAGGAGCACACACACGGCTCCGGATACCTCCTTGGGTTCCCCGGGGTATCTAGCCTCGCCGCCTGGTGGCTAGTCGCCTGGTTACACCGACGTTGAGCTGGGCTACGGCTACACGCCGTGTGAAGCAACTTGAAGCCATGCCGTGACGCATGGCCGCGGGAGGAGAGAACGTTGAAGCCCCTCAATCCGCGAGCAGCTCATCCGCCTCTAGCGGCCGCTCTGGCAGGGGATAGTCCGCTGGCAGATCCCACATCGCGTCCAAGTTTTCATCTTCCTGAGGTAGGTGTGGGGGTTCGATAGGGGGGCCTTGCGGCTCCGCAAACTCCGGCGGCTGCACGTAGTAAATGGGCGGCATGCTGGTCGGCGGAGCGAAGCTGAAATCCTCATGCGGTGCCAGCGGCCGGAGCTCCGTGCGTGTAGTTATGGGTGGTCGTCGCC